ATTTTAATATGAAGACTACGGCACCAAGCTGGCATGAAGGGATTTTTACAAACCCTTTGGATTGCCTCCGAGTACTGAGGGAACATGGCTCAGGAAATGTCTATCACTAGATCCAAACGTATCTGGAGTTCCCACTGACCTCTCAACCATCCCAACCCCCACGCCCTAGAACTTAACTCAGGGTAGGACGTGCAGCTGGCTCTGTATTAGGAATATGAATCTAATCCTTCTCTTGCCTTTCTGAAGTTTCTCATTCCTCAGCAAGCACAAATGTTATTTTATTCATGGGTTAGGTTCATTCTTTCTTCTATTCCCTTTTCTCTTTGGTGCTTACAGCATAAACATTATGCTGGGCTATTAAATAAGACACGTAATGACTAGAATTCCAAAATGTCTATCTATTGCAAGTCAGAAGCCTTGGCTTTTAAAGATGACTGACTCTGCTGTAAGTTTCAAATACTTGCTTTGGAATTCAAAGCTAAAAGGAGTCTTAGTACTACATATCCTCTGGTGCTCTCCACTTAACAAATGACCCTGAAGAAATAAAACTTACTGATTCACCTTAAAAAAATTTTTAGTAATTTGTAAAGGATGAGAATTTTTAAATGTATACCTTCAAAGGTTTTTTTTTAACCACCCCAAACACTTTTCTCCAAACAATATTATGTCAGTAGTTGTCCCTGAAGCCATACATTTTTCAACTCAAGAGAAGTTGGCGATTGATATGTGACTTAAACTGTCATATATAGCAGAAGCAGAATCCAAACTGGACCATTACTTTTCTAATCAGTTCTAGCGCTTTATAATGAAAAAAAAATATTTGACACCAATTCTTAAGTTGAATATTAAGTGTACACCTAGAAATTTAGTACACTCAATAAAAACTCAGCAGAATTCACTTAAAGTCACACTGAATAACACAAAAAGAAAAGTAAGAGTGGAAAAAGGAGGTGGTGGGGAATGGGCCCCCACAGTCTACGTATGTGTTGGACCTTTGAATGGACTGCTTTAACTATTTGGAACAATCTTTCCTTCCTCTTTTGCTGAAATATACTCATCCTTCTGCTCAGCTTCCTGGTCAGAGCCTCACCTGACCATCACCACGCTGGTTCAGCTGCCCTAAGCCATGCTTCCTCTACCAGTCTTTAACCACACAGCACATCATCCACATTACACTCTTCTACAAACTGTAAGAGACAAGTGTTTGATCTCATGAGCTTATATTCCAGTTGGGGGAGAAAAATGAAAATAAGCAAGTTAATTATTTAGTATTCATAAAAGATACTATACATTCCATCCTATATCTTTATTTTTTGGTTTCTTGTCTCTTGTAATCATTCCCTTTCAGGACACAGAACTCTTCCTCACTCACTTTTGATGTAACAACTCTATATTTTATTATACAGATTTACCATAATTTATAAAACTAGCCTTTTATTGAAGGAATTTTAGGTTCAATCTTAGACTATTACTAAAAGGGATGCAATGTTTGTACTTACAAATAATTCACTTCATAGTTGTACAAGTTCTTCTGGAGCGTAAACTCACAGAACTGAATTTGCCAGGTCAAAGGGTACAAGTATTTGTAAACTTCATAGCTGTTACTCATTAGTTCTCTAGAGGGGTACATTTATAATATATTTTCCCACAATAACACATGAGAGTTTCTCATAATACATGTTAATACCAGTAGAGTGCTTAATAAAACTTCTGATTTTTTGCCAATCTAAGGCAAGTAATGGTATCTCAACATAGTTTTAGTTTGTATTTGTCTTGTCTTAGTGAGTGGAGAGCTCTTTTTTTAAAAATTAAGATCCATTTTCCTTTTCTGTATGATCTATTCAGATATGTTGGTCATTTTTCTTGGGTTGTTATTCTTGCATTATTGACTTCAATATATTTTTATACTAGAAAGATTAACTTCTTGTGATATAAGTTGCAAATGATTTTTAAAAAATAGATTGTCACCTAAGAGAACTTTCTCTTATGATTCCTTGTATAATGGAGATGATCCTATAACTTTCTCTTTGGCTTTATTAATATGATGAATTGTATATTAAGTGATTTGTTAGTACTACATTGTTTTCATTTTGAAGTTTTATAGTACGTAATCATTTGTAGAAATATTCAATGTATTGTTCATATTTTTTAGGAATTTTTAGTATTATTTGTTTGTTTTTCCATATGGAATTAGTATCAGCTTCAAGTACCAAATGAAAACAAATAAAATCTATTTGTATATTTTACTAGGGCTATATAAATTTACACATTAATTTGAGGAGAACTGACTCTTTTCTTGATGTTGAAAATTATTCAAGTCTTTTTGTTCTTGTTCAGATTCAGGAGTATTTTAAAATTTTCTTTATGTAGGCCTGGAACATTTCTTGTTAATATATCAATTTGTTGCAATTTTAAATTTCAGATGCTTATTTCTCATATTAACTTTGTGCCAGACTACCATGCTAAATTATCTTTTTGTTTATACCAGATACAAAAATTGGATAATTTGAAAGAAGTGATAATTTACTACCTCTTTTCCAATTTTTATAGCTGCAAAGTCTTAGTACCAATGAGGGTTCCTTTGGTGTTTCTCCATTAAGTCCAAGTTTAGCTTGGATGTGAATAAAGCAGAAATTAAAATTTTTAACATTCTGGCCATAATTACATATAAATGCATATAGTATATTTTATTCTAAAGTTGGAAACATACTATAAATGTCATCTCCATTTTATTCTTTTTGAATATATAATCTTTCAAATAAGATTTGATAAAGGCTACATGATGCTCCATCATACGAAAGCTGTATAACTTATTTTGTTATTTCTCTATCACAAGATATTTGGGTTGCTGTGACACTGTAGACAGCATTGTGTTCATTGTCCTAGAACACACATCTCAGTGTACTCAGAATAGTATAATCCAAACAGCCTTTTGAATAAATTGGAACAAGTGAAAGTACTGGGACAGAAAACTATACATATTTTAAATTTATATTTTCAATCTGTACTCTAAAGG